ATAGATAGATAGATAGATAGATAGATAGATAGATAGATAGATAGATAGATGATAGAACTTACTATAAAGAGGACTGTGTATATACTATTATGAGAATTGTGGGGCTATGGCAGAAATTGTGGATGGTGAACAGCCAGGTAAGATTTAGGAAACAAGAGTTCTATAGTTTATGCCCAATGTTGCCCTTTCACTTTCTTGTGTACTTATATTGAGAGGGGTCTCTATAGCTTATCATTCTGAAACCAAATCCATTGCTTCCTCCTTCCCCACTCTAGAAGTGGTACACGCTCCTGGTACATTCTTACATCTCTGGTCCCTCTTACATTAGAACCACTTTCTGCCCACCTGTGACCTCCTGCCCTTTTTACTAGACACAAGTTCTGAGCAGTTAGGTAAGGAAGGGACAAGTCTTTTTTCCCTCCTTACGCAAGTTCAGGCTCAGGTCCTTTACTGGCATCCTCCTGTTTCCCACCCACAGGCTCACCCCCACCACAGAGAGCAAGCTTAATTAGTACCAATCAACTGATAATGACATAGCAACCCTGGCGGAACAGGGGGGAAGGCACACTGCTCAGGGCGAGGAAGGAGACAGAAAAGCCACAATAAATGACAGTCTCCGAGTTGCCAGGCCTGCAAGGGGAGCCTGAGTTGCTATTGGTAACTGGGAGGCAGAGCCTTCCTGCTTGCTTTCCTCTCAGAGTGTCACTGTGGTACCAGACTTGTTCTCTCCCCAGCAACAGCCTTTCATTGGGCACCATACAGCATGTGGTCACAGGCACCGAAGGCCCCTTCCTCACTGCTCTGAGATTCCTCCTCTCTCCTTCCTGGATCTGACTCAAGAGAAGAGCCAGCTCTGTTCCCTCCCCTGGATGCCACAGTAGCACTGCAGAGTCCCTGCCAGATTTCCGCCTGTGCTGTGCCAAACCTCCCAGGAGAGCCAGCTGCCTAGTGTGAGCCTCACTTCCTGTTCCCTGTCTCAGCATCCCCTCCTCTCCCCTCACTGCTCCAGGGCAGGTATTTGGAGGTTTTCCGCAGAGGAACAGGCTGGCTGTTCTGGTTTGTTCTTTTCATTGCTGTGACAAAATACTCTGACCAGTACCAACTTGGGGAGGAAAGGGTTTATTCAGCTCACAACTCCCAGGTTGCAGTTCATCAGGGAGCCCAAGGTAGGAACTCAGAGCAGGAACCTGGAAGCAGGAACTGAAGCACAGGCCATGGAGGAATGCTGCTTACTGGCTTGCTCCCCTGGCCCCTGCTCAGCCTGCTTTCTTATGCAACACAGGCCCACCTGCCCAGGGGTGGCACCACCCACAGTGGCTGGGC